TCGTGCTTTAAAAAATTGTTTACGCTTCCAAATTTGTTCAAGATTTTTTAAAATTGTTCACCATTTCAAAATTTGTTCTCAAGATTCAAAAAAAGTTTGGGAATTGAAAAAATTGTTCCAGCTTTCCAAATTTGTTCACAAATTTAATAATAGTTCATGGTTTTCAATTTTGTTCACAAATTCAAAAAATGTTCTGGAAGTTTTAAAAATGTAAACATTTTTATTTTTTGTTCAGAAATTCAAGAAATGTTCCCCTTTTTCAATTTTGTTCACATCATCAAAATGTTCCTGTTTTACAAAAATTGTACGAAAATTCGGAAAATGTTTTTATTTCGAAGAAAATATTCGTAATTTTAAAAAATTCAGTTGTAGGAGGTCATCGGTTCGACCCAATAAATGGATTGTAGTCTTTAACTGTCGCGCTGCTAGTTGAACATGAGAACGTCTACATGGCAGTGGTTTGCACGGCAGGCCAATTAGTGCGAAGTCGTGTGTTCGAGTTACAGCGGTAGCGCCATTTTCTTTTTTGGGATTTTTCATTTCGGGAACGTGCTGCCGCGTGCCACTGTAAATGGGTCGGCCTACGCTAGCCGCTCCTGTACAAAGCGCCGGCATTTCGCCGCAGCGAGCGGCCTATAGGAGCTCCCGCCGTCTGTCGCTTATAGCGAGCACCAAAGCAGACGTCGCTCACGGCCCTCCCTCAAATGGCGAAATCACTAATTAAGGAGTACTTGTTGGAAAGAACACTCCATTTTCTCAGGTCATGACAAGTGGCGCACATGCAACGCGCCACTTGTCGCAACCTAGGAGTTTTTCCTTTTTTTAGATCCGTTTATTCAAAACGTTTTATCTCTTAAACCGTGCGTCCAAATCTCGAACCGTTTTCACCATTGGATTCCACGCGTCGAGATCTTCAAACCTAGATCCCATGTTGATAAGTTTCGACGAATTTTTTTTAACGAAAAAAACCGGACAATAAACCGGGTGAAAAAACTGAAACGGGAGCACGGTTTTTCCCTTTCCGAAAGAGGCACGCCCGTGCCTCTCGCGAAATCACAACCGTGCCTCTCGTGGAAGCAAAACCGTAACTCTCGTGAAAAAAAACAGAAAATGCATTTTTTTTTCGTTTCCGAGAGGCACGGCCGTGACTCTCGCGAAAGCACAACCATGCCTCTCGCGAAAGCAAAACCGTAACTCTCGCGAAAGAAAAAAAATATAAACGCGTATTTTTTCCCTTTCCGAGAGGCACGGCCGTGACTTTCGCGTAAGCACAACCGTGCCTCTCGCGGAAGCAAAATCGTGACTCTCATGAAAGAAAAAGAAAGAGAAAACGCGTTTTGTTTTTCCCTTTCCAAGAGGCACGGCCGTGACTCACGCGAAAGCACAACCGTGCCTCTCGCGGAAGCAAAACCGTGACTCTCGCGAAAGAAAAAAAATAGAAAACGCATTTTTTTGTTTCTGAAAGGCACGGCCGTGACTCTGGATAAAGCACAACCGTGCCTCTCACGAAAGAAAAACCGTGACTTTCACGAAAGGAAAAGAAAAAAGAAAACGCGTTTTTTCGCGCAAATTTTTTTTTTTCAATTTTTTTTGATCGAAAAGCTAAGAAAGACCGGGGGAAAACCAAAACTGAAAAAAAAACGTTTAAAAAACCGAAAACGCGTGTGGAAAAATAAAAAAAAAATCCGAAAGGAGCGTCCAGAGCGCGACACGTGGCGAATGGCTGAGAGCGCGCCAAGTGGCACTAATCGTTGCGAGGCTCCCGAAAAAGCGCTCGTTAACTAGTTGCTCCCCTCAAATGGGCGCCGCCCATCGAGCGGAGTAGCCTGTTCACGAATAGGCCTTCTCAACTTTTAAAAAATGTTTGCCAATTAAAAAAATGATGAATTTCAAAAGTCTTCATTAGATTAAAGAATGTTCACATTTTTTTTAAAATATGTGGCTTTCAAAAAGTTATTCATGAATTTTAAAAATGTTTGTGAATTTTAATACAGTATAAACCAAGAATTTGAAAATTGTTCACAAGTTTATATAAATGAATGTGGATTTTAAAAATCCATTCATGTTTTTAGAAAATGTTCACAAATTTCAGAAAATTCACATTTTCCTAATAACACGAATTTGAAAAATTATTATGACTTAAATAAAGAACCAAAAACCGAGAAAAGCCAGTAAAAAACAAAGAAAAACACAAAAGGAACTCGGAAAACCTATCTCACTATTTAAAAAATGAGTAGCGTTCCTTTTCTATGAACGCTTGGTCAACTGATTCTCCCTTTCCCACCACGTCCCTCTAACGATATTTTTTCAACCGTTTATTAGTCCCTCCACACCTTTTTTTGCACCTTCCCTGTACGCTATTCAATTATTCAATTACCTTAATTTACTTACATTCTACATCAATTTCACCTTACCTCACTTACGAAACTTCTCATCAAACTATATGGTAAATCACAGGCAAGGTTTACCAAATATTTATTTATACAATCATAATAATATGAGCAGGCAAATTACAATCTAACTTACTTAAATATGTATATCTCGTTGCAATGTATGTGCACTGTCCTAGTGAAAAGAAAAGAAAACAACAAATAGAAGGTTCTAAAACCAGTCTAGAACCTTCTCAAAACTGTCCCCCGGCTGGCCTAAATTATGTTCCCCAAATTTTAAATCGATCACTGTCATCAATTTAAATGATGTTCCCAAAATTTTAAAATATACCCGATTTCAAAAAGTGTTCCTTAGTTTGAAAACAAAGCTGAAATACCAAAATAGAAAACCTGCAGTTAACCAAAAGAAAAACATAGGAAAAAGAGAACAAAAACCGGTCGATGGTTCCGGAACCTTCCCAAAACCGGTGGATGAGGGTGCGCGTTGGATGTGTATGTGCCGTGTCATGCAGTAAATAGGAATTGCTTTGTACGTGCTGGTCGCCGGCTTGCAGCGGCAGGTAGCGGTGGTCGGGGGCATGCGGGAGAAGGTGAGGTGTACATGAAGAAATGAGAGGAGAAGAAAATGCGTTCGAGTGAATAAGTGCATCTACACCCAGGGTAGGCAAATTCAGGCCCTCAAATGCCCGCGGACGCATCATGCGCATCCGCGGACATTGATCAGTTAAGTCTTAAATTTTTATATCTTCATCCGGATACCTTGCAATTGAAGTCTTAAATTCATACAAAAACATGTAAAAAAAAAATCCAACATACTATGTAGATCAACTAGCCTAGTCTTTGTCGGAGAAGTCCACTATCTTCATGCCTGGCGGCGGCTACATGGACGCCAGCTGCAGCTCCGGCTCCTGCGGCTCCTTCGTGGCGGCATGTGCATCCATCTCGCTTCGACCTCGTCGAAGAGGGCGTCGTCGCCGTCCATTCGAGTCGGATGAACCGTTGATTAGCCTTCACATAGGCCTCATCCTGGATGGACTCCGGGATGGCCTGCTGCTCCACCATCTCGTTCGCTTGGGCGACGGCGAACTCCGCCTCCGCTTGCTCCATGTGAAGCCCGGAGCCAGCGCCGGCTCCTGCTCTGGCTGCTCCGCCTCCTCGTCGTCCTTCATCGGAGCCGGTTGCTGCTCCTCTCCCTCCTCCTCCTTCGCCTGCTCCTCCACCTCCTCCAGCTTCGGCAAGTTCGGAGGCAGCCTGAGAGCGATGCGTGCGGTTCGCCTTGCCCAGATTTCTTGCTGGATCTCGTACCGACGCTCCGGCATGAGCATGGCGTAGGTGGTTATCTTCTTTCGGACCATGGCGAAGGTGAAGAGTGTGGGAAGAGAGCCGGAACGAGAGAGAGGAGGTGGGCGGGCTCGAGCTGGCGGTGCGGAGCGGGAGAGAGGAGGTGAGCGTTGGGGGTACACCGGCCGGCTTAAATAGCCGGATTTGGCCACGGGCAGCTAGCCGAACCGGCGCCACACGGCGTTCACACCCCCACCGAAGGAGACGTCCGTCGGACTGCTGGGTTTCCGTGCGATTCTGCGTGGGACCCCGATGTTAGTGTGACATGGCTAGCGCACATGGGCGCCCCATATCCGCTCATTTTTAGGCTGGATAAGAGGGGTGTCGGTTAACTCGGGTGTTTGAGACCCGTTTGAGACGTTCATCTGAATCAAAATTTCGTAATCGGTCAGTGACCGAGCGGCCCACCCAGACTGCTGGGTGATCTAAGGTGAGCGGTGCGTGGGCTCAACGGACGCGTGGTGCGCGACGAGAGCAACCGATCCAGGCTGCAATCGGTCACTCGATCTACATCATTTGCAACAACGAGAAAAGGTTCCTGTCGTTTGGCAGGAAATAGGTTCTTGCCATTTGGTGGTCCAACAAAACCGTCCATCCACAATTAAGCAACATGACAGCCTATCCTAAAGAATCTTCTAGAAAGGGCGAGGATGGTACAGTAGATTCATAAGAAAAGAAAAACAAGTTATGATCATTTTCCTTCAGGAAGAGGCAGATATGATCTGCGAGTTTTCTTCCAGAAAAGCGTGCAACTGGTGGCGAGATCGTGCCTGGCAAACGAACGGCACTTCTCTCCCGTACCCGTAGGCCGTAGCTGTAGCTTCGCACTACTATAGGTAGCAGTACGTAGGTCGCACGTCCCCTTGCCACGCCACCGATAAAAACGCCTTGGCCGAGCGTCATGGCAGACGACATATCTGCACTTCCGCTTGGCCTCGGCAAATGAGGCTCGCCCGACGTGATGCCATCAAATCGCTAGTGCCTCTTTGAAAACACTGGCTCGTTTCTGAACTCTACAGCCACAAACGGCAAACCGGGGAACAGATCACAAGTTCAGACTTGTAACAGCGACATATGTTCCTAGCTTCAGAAGCAGGCCTGTTTTCTTCAGCTTCCGTCGTCGACTAGTTTTCTCTGAAATTTCGTCCAAATTTCCTTCTCCGCGTGTGACATTAGAGAAGCAAGTGGCATGTTTCTGGAAAAAAATAGGACCTCTACTCTAAGAAAGTCTTGTTTTTTTTTCTTTTTTGCGGGTGAAAAAAACTTGTATTACTCAATCTCTACACTTGTACAGTCCATCGCAGCCAACTCTATGGATATGTGAGGTCCAGAGCCCAACCAAGTCATGGTTTTACCCTCAATACGAGCAAAATTAGCTAGGCTATCACTAACCTTATTCTGGTTACGATTTACATGAGTAATACAAACTTCACGAAGAGACATAAAATATTTAATCTCCTTTATGATGGACGAGTAAATGGATCGGTCAACCTCCGAAGCTTGGATCATCTTCACCGCCACAATTGAGTTCATTTCCACGATGACCGGTAGCTCACTTCTCTGGATGGCAAACGACAAACCTTCCATACAGGCACATAACTCAGCTTCCGGTGCTTCACGGCAAGAGAACAATTGCCTGCAAGAGGAAAAAATTATCGCTCCCTTATCATCACGTAGGACCATTCCAGCGCCAGCTGTTCCGTCGTCCGCAAAAGACCCATCAGTATTAAGCTTCACCCATCCGGACTTTGGCGCTGACCACTTAGTAACCTTTTTTCCATTATCATATGTGGACTCCGTCTTTCATATGTGATGGTAGACTTGCCTTTGCGTGGATCAGTAGAGAGATCAATTTTAATACCAATCAGAGAGTCCAAATAGCTTACCAAGAATCTTTTCGACGCTTCCATAGGCGGGGCTGGTTTATGGTGTACGACCTCATTGCGTATATGCCATACCCTTCACATGGATAGCAATAACATAGATCTCTCAATCTCCTGTAGCGGTTCAAGCGCATGCAACAGACACTCATCCCCATTATTTTGCAGGGTAGATAAACATGGGAGAGGCCAAACTTCAGACATTGCATCTCATAAGATCCTCGCAAAGGAGCAGCGACAAAGAGCATGGTAGCAGTCCTCTGGTTCACTAGCACATACCGGACAAAGGTTACTTGTTTCAAGTCCACGCCTGTACTTGTTGCACCATGTCGGCAGTGAGTTTGTAGCAACCCGCCACGCAAAATTCTGGACCGTAGGAGGAACATCCGAAGACCATATGAGCTTCCAACAAGAGCGCCGGCCATTAGGTCGCGAACTAGAGCCCGTTGCCGAACTCCTGTGAGCCTCTTCAAAACCAAATTGGTATGCACTCTTGACCGAAAAAACGCCAAACTTGCCCGGCCCCCAAGCCAAGGTGTCGTCCTCATGTCTAGGAGACGCCCTTATTTTCAGTATCTCATTTACATCAGCCGGGAGGAAATACTCCAGCAACAGCCCAACATTCCATGAGCCATTATCATTAAGGATGCGTTTGGTTGAAGGTGTCGTATGAATGGTTTGGGACCGTTCAATTTTTTTGGGATTGAACCATTCAATTCATGTGTTTGGCTGAATATAAGTGGTGAGCTAATTATTTAGGACGGGACCACCAGTCATGCTCACATAGTCATGCATGCAAAGGGTGGCCATTTGATTCGACCGATTTGGTTGGGTGGAACGGTTCAGCATCTTCATGGCATATTCTCTTTTTTTGGCTCGAACCATTCATGTGCTTTATAACCAAACATGTCTATTTTCTGAACGATCCCAACCCATTCATGACCGCCCTTGCAACCAAACGCACCCTAAGTAGATCAGACACGAAGCGGATTCTGCATCTTCCTTGTAAGGTGATGGGTTTATAGGAGAAGGGTCTTGGGATCCAATTATCGTGCCACACACGAATACTTCTGCCGTTCCCCACTCTCCAGATTAAGCCCTTTTTTAACAGATCAAGGCCATGGTTGATTGCTTGCCACGAAGAAGATGCATTGTCGGAGAAGACAGTATCCTCTATGTTTCCATCAGGATAGTACCTGGCTTTGAGCACTTGTGCACACATGCTATCAGGTTTTGAAATCAATCTCCAAGCTTGTCGTGCTAATAAGGCTTGATTAAATATTCTGTAATCTCTAAACCCGGCACCTCCTTTACTCTTTGGTTGTTGTAAATCCTCCCATGCACGCCAGTGTACTTTCCTCTTACCTTTTCAGCACCCCAATAAAAGGCACGTACCATCCGTGTTAATTCATCATACACTGAGAATGGAATCTTGAAAACACCCATCATATATGTAGGAAGAGCAAGCGCAACAGATTTAATAAGAGTCTCCCTCCCCGGTTGGGCAAGGTGACCGTCTCCCCATTGGACCAAACGCTTGGTTAAACTCATCTGAAGGTTTTGGAATCTCCCTTTCGACATGCGACCCTCTGGAGTTGGAAGGCCAAGGTACTTCTCCTCAAACACTAAGCTAGTAACATGCAACACCCCCCTAACTTCCTCCTGAATATCTTCGGGGCATGCAATACCAAAGAGGATGAAACACTTATCAAAATTAAGAGATTGTCCCGTTGCTACCCCGTATTGATCCAAAGCCAATTTAACTTTCTCAGCCTGGGCTCTCCTTGCCTCAAAGAAAAGCATGGTGTCATCAGCAAATAAAAGATGTGAGATACCCGGTGCTCTTCTACACACCTTGATCGGAGATATATCACCAGAAGACACATAATGCTTCAGAATAGCGGACAGACCATCTGCCACGAAAAGGAACAAGAAGGGGGATAGAGGATCGCCTTGCCGAAGACCACGCGACGGTGCAAATGAATCTAAGAGGGTCCCATTAAGTTTGACAGAATATCTCACCGATGTGACACAAGACATTATCCAGTCCACCCATCGTTGAGAGAAACCCAACTTTTGCATCACTTGCTTCAAGAACTTCCAATCCATCCTATCGTAAGCCTTTGAGAGGTCCAACTTGTAGGCACAGAAACTTTTTGTTGGATCCTTCTTTTGCTTAATATGGTGAATACACTAGATAGGCACAGAAACTATCTAAGAAAGTCTTGAACTGCAGGAAAGCATGAGAATGAGCACACAAAACAACGGGTGGTCGGCCACACGGCTCGTCCTGCATTTCGTTGCAATTCCATCGCAGGAGGCCGAACTGAGCTAAGCACGACTGTTTGTTCCGTATTTACAGTATCTCCTTCACTTACATGTAAGCACCGTTCCCAATCCCAAATGGACCTCACAATTTTTGCATAATAACTTGACAAAATTTTGGCTAGCAAGAAAAACTATCTCCACCTACTACTACTGTACTACAAGTACGGATCAGAAGTTGAGAACACCATGTCAGACGCTGCACTGCTTCAGCCCCTTGGGTGTCTGGTGGCCCCCTTTCAGCCGTACCTGCATTCACAAATGAAAATGGCTCTTTTTTCAGATGCTGGTTGAGTATAAGAAAGTAAAAGCTCACTGCTTTTCTCGTCCGGTGCAGAGTGCCAGAAGCGTCCGATCCATTTGTTTAGATGACTTCATTGTTAGTAAGTAGAAAAGCACTGCTTTTGGCTTAAACATATCGGCAGCTACGCGCTAATGACTTGGCGAGCGAATCGTATTTGGTTCCTCGACCCTCTTTCTCACCGAAAGCACGGACGACAGCCCAGCCTAATAATGCCTGGTTTGTTCTCAGGAATCACGCCGTCGGCTCGGCGCCGGCGGGATAGTATTGTTTTTCGTCACGCAAACGTGGATTTTTCAGAGAAGCAAAGGCGAGGGGGCGAGGGTACTCACGGCCTCCACGTCGATCCGGTAGACGAGCAGGCGGCGGCGCTCGCGGCAGCTGGCCCGGTACGCGACGGCGAGGTGCGCGGCCGCGAGCGACAGGGAGAGCAGGAGCATCGGCTCCGGCCCGCCGGCGCCCTTCCCCTGCGGCGCGGCGCCGCGCGGCAGCACGGCGGCCGCCTTGGCCAGCACGTACGACGCGGACGCCGCGGCGCTCGCCGCCACCACCCACAGGTACGCGCCGCCTCCTCCCCCGCACACCGTGTACGCGCCTGTCGCCGCCGGCACAAGAAAAAACTCAACCGGTCAGCTCGGCCGTGACCGAGAAGGAAGGAAACCGAGGTTGCAATGCCAAGAAGTACTCACAGAGGATGAGCAGGGCGCGCGCGGCGGAGACGGCGGGCAGGTCGACGAGGGAGGACCGGAACTCGAACGCGCGCGCTTGGTCGAGCATGGCCGGCACGAAGGACCGGTGCGGGGGCTCGGCGCCGGCGTCGGCGCGGAGGTGCGCGGAGAGGAGCATGGGCGGGAGGGCGAGGTCGAGGAGCACGACGAGCAGGGGCGGCGCGCAGACGAGCAGCAGCGAGGCGAGCATGGCGACGAGGAAGAAGGCCGTCTTGGCCCACCGCCACGGCCGCGCCCACGCGGGCTCCCCGGCGCCGTGCTTCTGCGCCAGCGCCAGCGCCAGCGGCAGCTTCTTCTCCATGCCCCCCGCGCCGTCGGAGCCTGCGCGCGAGGACGGCGGCCCGTCGCGGGCGGTGCGTCGGGTTGCGGTAGACGGAGCTGATCGGGCAGTGGGGTTGGTTGGTTGGCCGGATTGTTTTAAGGTCGGGGCGGGGCGGGGAAGTGGATAGATGGAGGCAGCTGCGGCCTGCGGGCGAGCGTGGAGCCGGCGAGATGGTTTAGTTTGCTTCGCCGCGTGGAGTCCGACGGTTGATGGGGACGTGGCGTGGTGACTTGCGAGTTGAGTTTGACCCACCCTGACGGACTCACGCGGCAGCAACCGCCTTGTTCACGCCGGGTTCCGCGAGGGTGAAACTGCCCGCGAAGGCCACGATTCCCACCGTGTCACGATGGATGCATCGTGTAGGTGAAGACCGAGGTATCTCTACGACCCTTTCTTGTACGTACGTAGTACGTATGTTTCAATGTGGGAATTCACATGTACAGTTTTTCTCTTCTTCGGGCATTATTACTATCACAAAAAAATAGCAAAGTGATTAAAGCAGGCCGGTGCAATGGCGCTGGAACACATGGCGTCCATGCGTCACGCACGTTACGTGCGGCGCCGTGAGAGGCAGAGCCAAGCAACAAGATCCAGAGGCCGGGACAGACACGTCTGTTACCATACGTAGGCGAACAAGATGCCAATCGGCAGTCTCACACGCGCCGCCCAGCCACCGAGCTCAAGCTTAAACTGGCACGGCGGGCGCCGTCCAGGTCCGGTCACGATCCGGCGCCCCCCTGCCCAACTAGCTCTCCGACCTGCCGGTATCTGTCGTATCCGATGATCTGATGCCATCCGTTAGTGGTGAGGTTTCTTAATCCGGCTCTTCTAGTGCGTGACGGCTCGGGTCTTGGAGTTGGAGATGGAGCCGGGGTCGCGTTTGGGATTGCTGCTGAGGATATATATACTATAACAAAAGAAAAACTGATGGAGCTGGCGATGCGTCTTGTGCATTGTGGACGTCCTTTGTGTACTAAATTCCTACTGTGAGTAGGCTTCCGAATGGAGCTCGCTAGGTGGATAGAGCTGGCGCGCGTACGGACGAGAAGACGACGTTTTCCTGGGTTTCTTGTCTCGTTTAGCCAAAGAAAAAGGACCAGGTCAGATGAAGCCCCTCGGTATCATAGAGCCAAAACTGTTTCTAGTGGACCAGCTCAAGGTTGGGAGGCACAGCCGGGGATTATACTATGATGATGATTATGATGAAACAAGACTGAATACGTACGGAAGCACGATTAGAGCAACTCCTACGGCGGCCGACTCAAACTGACGGCGCATTTGTTCGTTTTTTGTCCGTTCGGGTCGGCCGCCCGCCTGGCGTCCGCCCAATTTTGTATTTGGGTCGGCAGTGCGCCCAACACGCCGACCCATTTCATGCCCGCATTCAACTTTTAAATAAAAATGGCCTGTGGCCGATCATGCCAGCGGCCATGTCTCATGCCGGCATCATGCTAGCGCCGGCATACAATGCCGGCTTCAGAAAATATCACCATAGTTCATGCTGGCGCACTCGCCAGCCGTCCGGCACACATGTCAGCACACAAAAAAGGGTGGGACTTGAGTTCGACCACGCCATGGCGGCTCCCGTGGTCATGTCGGCACACCTGCTGGTATACAAAAAAGATGGCCCTCGCCGCTATAGATCACTCGTCGTCGAACTTGAGCATGTCGGCCTGCATCTTCTCGAACCACGGCCTCTTCCTTGGCGACACAGTGTTGAGATCCACCTTCATGATCTCCACCCCGGTCATCATGCTCGCAAGAGCCACTTCTTTCGCCTTGGTCTTGGCGTTGGCGGCCTCGATCTCTAGCATCTTGGCTTGCTTCTCCGCCTCGAGCTCGAACATCTTGGCTTGCTTCTCGACGTCAAGATCAAGCCTCCTCCTTTGGATCTCCATGAAAGCATCCATCTGCTCCGCCTTGAAACGTCGACGCTCCTCCTCCTTTGAGTCCTTCTTATTCATCATGCCGTCCACGCTTGCGATCAAGGCGTTGGTGGCCGCATCTCTCTTGTCCTCCTTCTTGGAGTTGGTCGCGGCGGCGGTCTTGCATGGGGCACGAGGCTTGCCTTTCCCGGAGGGGGCGACGGCGCCGGACGAGGCGAGGGAGGCGAGGCCGGCGGTGGCGTCGAGGTCGAGGTCGATTGCGTCCTCCATGGCTGGTTGGGGGGCGGGGGCGCGCGCGGGCGTGAGTGTTTTTGGAAAAAATGGGGGGGGGGAATGGTGGTGGCTGCCACCGACCGGCGGGCCCGAGGAGAGGAGTAGGCGCGCGCGCGTCCTTCTTGTGTCCGCGCCGACGCAAATCCGGCTCAAAATTGGGCCGGGAATGTAAGACTTAGGGTTTTGGGAAACTGTCCGACACCCTTCCAGGGTGTGGCTATCTCATATATATAAGGGGTACACAAAGGTGTATGGTACAATATACAAGAACTATACAGAGGCTACGTATAAATACAGTCTAACACCCTTCCTCAATCTTAACTATGCCCTAAAGTACAAAGTATGTTAAGATTGCGCCTACAGCCTACAAACTGAGGTTGTGGAAGAGGCTTCGTGAAGATGTCAGCAAGTTGATCCTTTGAAGAGATGAACTTGATGTGGAGTAGCTTCTGTGCAACACGTTCCCGCACAAAGCGGTAGTCAACTTCAATGTGTTTGTCCGAGCATGAAACACTGGATTAGATGACAGATATTTAGCACCAATGTTGTCACACCAAAGAATAGGTGGCTGAAATTGAGGAACTCCCAACTCTCTCAATAAGGACTGTACCCATATGATCTCAGCTGTAGCATTTGCAACTGCCTTGTATTCACCTTCAGTACTACTCCTGGACACTGTAGCTTGTTTACGAGCAGCCCAGGCGATCAAGTTAGGACCAAAGAAGACAACATGCCCCCCCGTGGATCGCCTGTCATCTGGATTACCAGCCCAGTCTGCATCTGAAAAAGCAGAAAGCGTAGGAGACGGTGCTGGCTGAAGAAGTAAACCATATGAGGCAGTAAAGCAAATGTATCGAAGGATGCGCTTCACCGCTGTCCAATGAGTAGTCCGAGGAGCATGAAGAAACTGACAGACACGATTGACTGCATATGAGATGTCGGGCCGAGTGATAGTCAGGTACTGCAGACCACCAACAACGCTATGATACTCAGTGGCATCCTCAGAGGTGAGAAGATCTCCATCAAAGGCAGACAGATGGTCAGTAGCAGACATAGGAGTCATGACATGCTTGCGCTGTAGCATACCGGCCCGTCGCAACAAGTCCATCGAGTACTTATGCTGAGTGAGTGTCAAACCAACAGGAGAACGTGAAACTTCCAGGCCAAGCAAGTAATGCAATGTTCCTAAATCCTTCACCGCAAAATCACCACTCAAGGAAGAGATCAGACGATCAGCAGCAGCATCAGAGGAGCTAATGAGGATAATGTCATCAACATATACCAGAAGATACATCGTCACCTGAGGCCGATGCAGAAGGAAAAGCGAGGTGTCAGCAGTGAAGGGAACAAAACCAAGTGACCGAAGAATAGAGCCCAATCTGGCATGCCAAGCACGAGGAGCCTGCTTCAGCCCATAGAGTGCCTTGACCAGGCGACAAAGATGACGAGGGCGAGTAGGATCAACGAACCCCGAAGGCTGACGCATGTAAACCTCCTCATCCAGAACACCATGAAGAAAGGCGTTCTAAACATCCAGCTGACGAAGAAACCAGTCCCGTGTAACAGCCAAGGACAACAGAAGTCTTATAGTCGTCGGTTTGATCACCGGACTGAACGTATCCTCGTAGTCAAGACCATACCTTTGCTTGAACCCTTTCGCCACTAACCGTGCCTTATAGCGTTCAATAGAACCATCGGCATGCTTCTTAACTTTGAAGACCCACTTGGAATCAATAATATTGACACCAGAGACCGGGGGAACGGGCTGCCAAGTACCATTTGCCAACAAAGCCTGATACTCTTGCTCCATAGCTTGACGCCAATGAGGTATCCCGAGAGCAACCTGGAAGTGACGTAGTTCAGCCGAAGGATCATCCTTGACGTGAGCAACACAGGCTGCAAGCCAGGCCACCGTCCCATCTTTGCGCTGCTTAGGACACACAATACCGGATCGGCTGCGTGTATGTGGTCGAAGAGCAACAGTAGCAGGTGGTGCAGCAAGTGGCGACGACACCAGCGATGAGGAAGCAGCCGGCAAGGCAGCTCTGGTGACGAAACACTTGCGCCAGGCGAGGACGAGGGAGAACCAGGTGAGGCAACAGTCGACCGGGTGGGCGAGCCAGTCGACTCGAGGCCGACCAAGTCACGGGTGGCCGGCCCAGGCGAGACCGCCAACGCAGGGGGAGCTGGCCCAGGCGAGGCCACCGGCTCAGGGGAGGCCGGCCCAGACGAGGCCGCCAGCTCAGGGGAGGCCGACTCAGGAGATACCGGCCCATGAGAGACTGGCCCAGGCGAAGGCACGGCCGGCTCAGGGCAGGCCGACACGGGCAAAGCCGACGCCGAGGAGCATGGTCCAGACATGCATGGCGCATGCACGAGACCGCTTCCCACGTCCGGTGTAGTCGATAGCTCCGGCTCCTCCAGCAACTCAAGGCGAGCTCCACGACCCGTTCCTGCAGCATGATTAGGCAACAACGCAGGAGAGTATGCAATATCAACAAATTGAGCAGGCAGTGGAGGGGTGGAATGCGTGGAGGTGACTGGAGGTGCGGGATTTGTGGACAAAGAAGAGAACGGAAATACACTCTCGTCAAACACAACATCACGCGAGATATAGACACGATTGGATGGAATATGAAGACACTTGTACCCTTTGTGAAGAGAGCTATACCCAAGAAAAACACAGAGTTTTGACCGAAACTCAAGCTTACACTTATTGTAAGGACGCAGATGAGGCCAACATGCACAACCAAAAACTTTGAGAAAGGTATAATCTGGAACCTCATTAAGCAACAGTTCAAGAGGTGTTTTCATCCCAAG